CTGACCAAATAGGCTCCCACAGTAGACTTGGAAAGACATCCTCATCTCTAAGCCCTAACCAACCACCCCAAAAAAATACTCTAAACCCCCTAACATCCCAAACCCGCTTTGAAAGCCTAAAACCTACACCCAATGGAACCCTAAACCCTAAACCCTAAACCCTAAACCCTAAACCCTAAACCCTAAACCCTAAACCCTAAACCCTGAACCCTGAACCCTGAACCCTAATCAAACCCTGAACCGCAACCCCCCAAACCCCCTTCAAAGCCCAAACCCTACACCCAAATGGAACCCTAAAGCCTAAACCCTAAACCCTAAACCCTGAGCCCCTTGTCAACCCCTCCTGGCTGGTAGTGCTCTTGGTGGAAAGCTGCCGCCAGCAGGGGCCTAGAAGAGAGATGCGTGGAACGAGAGTTTCTTTTCTGTTGTTCTTCATTTCTTTTTTCTTTTGTGTGCGGGGGGGGGGGGGGGGGGTAGGGTTTAGGGTTTAGGGTTTAGGGTTTAGGGGGTGAACCCTAAACACCCCAAATCCCTAAACCCTAAACCCTCAACCGTGTTGCGAAAGCGCTGAACCTCCAAGCCGTGGGCCAAACTGAACGACAGGGGAGTCATAAGCTTGAAGAAGATGCCAAGACGGAGAGCTTCAAAAAAGGCCTTGGGTTCAGGGGATAGGGTCTAAGGTTAGGGGTTGAAGGGTTGAAGGGTTGAAGGGCTTTAGGGTTTAGGGGTTTAAGGCGAGGGGTTCAGGGGTTTAGGGGTATGGAGGTTTCGGAATTTGGGGTGTTTAGGGTTAGGGCTTGAGACCACCGCGCGCACACACACACACAGAACCCCTAAACCCTAAACCCTAACCCCTAAACCCTAAACCCTAAACCACTGCACTGGGCCATGGACACCTCCGATGGATCGAGGCGGCGGAAAACAGGCACCTTTTGGCGGATCTGCGTACCGGGGGTTTGACTTTCTGATTGTTCGCAGGGAATCTCTCTAGAGGATGCGCTGGGTGGCATGGTCATCTTCAAAACAAAATTTTGACCCTTGGCAAACTTGAGTCTGAAAAGCCGCATGAATACGAGTTTTTTGCATGGGCACACTCAAGCCGTCGTCAAAAACCTTGCCCCTCGTCAAAACGCATGAATACGAATTAGTCCCCAGGTGAACCCTAATTAAACCCTAAACCCTAAACCCTAAAATCTTTAGGGCTTTTAGGTGGGCTTTGGTCTCTTGGCACGGCACGCTGCTGAGCCAAGCCATCTCATCCGCCTTGGGGGAGGGAGGGGTTTAGCATGGTTAGCATTGAAGGCTTAGGGCTTATAGGGCTTAAGGCTTAAGGTTTAGGGTTTAGGGTTTAGGGTTTAGGGTTTAGGGTTTAGGGTTTAGGGTTTAGGGTTTAGGGTTTAGGGTTTAGGGTTTAGGGTTTAGGATTTAGGGTTTAAAGTGTAGGGTTTCGGGTACCGGGAGACATTGTGGTCGCGGTTGTTTCTTGAGCGTCGACGCGACAGCGAGTTGGCGTGTCCAAAGTGAGCTGGTGCGGGGCGCGCTGGTTTTGGTCATGTGCTGTCTTGGCGGCGCTCTGCTCAGGACTAGAGATGTGTTCGCTTGGAGACCCTAAACCCTAAACCCTAAACCCTTAACCCTAAACCCTCTTTCCCCGAGATAAGGAGGCAACTTCTCTCGGAACACAAGAATGGTGAAGAGCTCTGAGAGAGCACGAGATGTATCTGCAGAGTCGGGGTTTGGGCGGTTTGGGGTTCAGAGGTTCGGGGTTGAGGGTTTAGGGTTTAGGGTTGAGGGTTAGGGGGGTCCTAGAAGTCTGGGAACTGCGGAGAGTCACCAAGGACGAAGGGGACGCTGGAGAGCCCAACGCTGAACCCACAAAAGACGCGGCAGTGCTCCCAAACCCAAAACCCCAAACCCTAAACCCTAAACCCCAAACCCCAAACCCTAAACCCTGAACCCCAAACCCCAAACCCTAAACCCTAAACCCCAAACCCCAAACCCTAAACCCTGAACCCTGAACCCTAAACCCCAAACCCTAAACCCCAAACCCTAAACCCCAAACCCTAAACCCCAAACCCTAAACCCTGAACCCCAAACCCTAAACCCCAAACCCTAAACCCTAAACCCTAACCCCTAACCCCTTTTTTCATCCGCACCATGGTCTGGCTTCTTACACTTACACATCGTGGTGGCTTCGGAGGTATAAACAGCGCCTAAGCCCTAAACCCTAAACCCTAAACCCTAAACCCCAAACCCTAAACCCTAAACCCTAAACCCATACAATGGATGAGGGCTTCGAGGTATTCCAGGTGGACAGGGTGAGGGTTTACGGTTTACGGTCTAGGGTCTAGGGTCTAGGGTCTAGGGTTTAGGGCTTAGGGCTTAGGGCTTAGCTTGTTTCGCTAGAGACTGCCATACCTGTTGTTTGCAATCCTCTTGCCCTGTGCACGGTTTAAGCGGGTTTAGAGTCTGGTTTAGGGTTTAGGGTTTAGGGTTTAGGGTTTGGGGTTTGGGGTTCAGGGTTTAGGGTTTAGGGTTTAGGGTTTAGGGTTTAGGGTTCAGGGCTTAGGGTTTAGGGTGCGGGTTGCGGGCTTTTGGGCATCTCCACCACACAAGTCGCCACATATCTCGGCCGGCAGGGACTAAATCAAGCGCTACTGGCCTGGAAGATTCGGCTTCGGCTGGACGCGAACTGCACTAGGATGGCCCTTAAGACCCTCTGAAAAATGTCTAGGGTTTAGGGTTTAGGGTTTAGGGTTTAGGGTTTAGGGTTTAGGGTTTAGGGTTTAGGGTCTAGGGTTTAGGGTTTAGGATGTAGGGTGTTTCTGAGGCTGTACAGGCACCTGTGGAGGACCTTTTTGGGGTAGCATACTCGAATCCCCCAAGAAGTATCCCGAACAGGCACTACAGTAGAGCCCTCAGGTTTTCAACTAGCAGCCTAGGCCCTGAAGACCCTAAACCCAATGAGAGAAAAATATGAAATGTCCCAAGGGCCTACCTAGTGAATGGTCACAATCCATTAACGGCTGAAGACACTGGAGCTCGTAAAGCCTAAGCCCAAAGCCATTGCTTTTATAACGCAACTTGAAACGCACTATCGTGGACTAAAATAGCTATAGTGCATACTATACTATAACGCAATGATGCAGTATAATTAGTTAGACAAGTCTAACATGTTGTTGCAGGGTTGTTCTTGTGTACTATAGTATACCATCGCATATCATCGTCTTTGGGGGGGGGAATGATGAAATACTAGTTGGGATGTTCCCCCTGATACTAACAGTAGGGGATTATAGCAAGGACTGCTCGCATAAGGGGGAACATCTCAACCCCAACCCCTGAACCATAAACCCTAAACCCTAAACCCTAAACCCTAAGCCCTAAACCCTAAACCCTAAGCCCTCCTGGTTTCTAAGGGGGGTCAGTGGTAGGGGCGGGTTCAACGTCTGAGGATGTCGCTGGCTGGCGACACTCTAAGGAAGTCACTTGCTGACTTGCACACACACACACATACGAAGGTTTAGGGTTTAGGGTTTAGGGTTTAGGGTTTAGGGTTTAGGGTTTAGGGGTTTGGGGTTTAGGGTTTGGGGGTTTGGGAGTTTAGGGTTGATTTTCGGCAGTTTGTATCATCAGCTGACCATACACAAAATCATGTCGGCGGTACTACACACCCATGCACGCGCATGGACTCACTGAGTGCGCGCAATGAACCGTTTAAGGCGTTTAGCTTGCAGGGTTTAGGGTTTAGGGTTAGGGTTCAGGCTTCAGGGTTTAGGGTTTAGGGTTTAGGGGTTGCGAGTTTCCTGTTCAACTGTCCAGCCGACGTGTTCTCCGGCCGGCTTTCGCCATTTCTAGGTCGGAGAGCCGGGTGAAAGGGGTTTAGGGTTTAGGCTTTAGGGTTTAGGGTTTGGGGTTTGGGGTTCAGGGTGTAGGGTTTAGGGTTTAGGGTTGAGGGTTTGAGCATGCAAGGCGCGCTCAGGGAGCGCGCAGTTGGTGTGGGTGATGCCCTCCACCTCAAAGAAACAAGCCGTCAGAACGGAGACACCAAAACCCAAACCCTAAACCCTAAACTTAGACCCTAAAACCTAAAACACAAAACCCCTCAACCACAGATGCAAGTCCAACAGTATCCCTCAAAACCCTAGTAACCCTAGTAACCCTATTAACCCTAGTAACCCTAATAACACTAGTAACCCTAATAACCCCAATAACCCTAGTAACCCTAATAGCCCTTACAACCCTCCTGATCTTCGCTAACAAGAATCCTGACGAGGGCTCTTGGGCTTTTGGGGGGGGGGGTGGCTTTATGGCTTTAGGGCCGTAGGGCTTTGGGGCACCCTAAACCCTAAACCCTCAACCCTCAACCCTCAACCCTAAACGAGTGTTCAGTTCTGAGGTTGTTGGGCTTTGGAGCTTCAGTGCTCATGGGCTTTGAGTTGGGGCTTCAGGGTTTTTGGGCTTTTGGTCTTTGGGGCTTTAGGGCTTCAGCTTCAGGATCTCCGCGTCCTGGGGCTTTAGGGCATTAGGGCTTTCTGGCTTTAGGGCTTTACGGCTTTAGGGCTTCAGGGTCTTAGTGGTTTTCGGGCTTTGAGTTTAGGGTCCGTTGGGATCTGAGGGCTTTGGGTTGAGTTGGGCTTCAAGCTCTTCAGAGACGCATGCCCCCCCCCCCCCCCCCCTAACCCATGAACCCTGAAACCCTATAGGGTTTACGGAACCCTAAACCCCAAACCCGAAACCCTAAACCCTGAACCCAAAACCCTAAATCCTGAAGCCTAAAGCCTACTGGCCTACTTCAAGGGCTCCGGAAGAACCTCCAAGGAAGAGCTTTAATTCCGAGATCCCATGAGGTATTGAGCCCCCTGGTTCTTAGTAGGGAGTGGGGGAATGAGGTACCCTACATAATCCCTTAAAGGGTATATAAAGGGATGCGGGGTACCTCATGCCCTCATTCCCTCATTCCCTACTAAGAACCGGCCATCTGAGCTCTGAGCGCGCAGCTCTCACGCGGCTTCGGGAGGAATGCTGCTGCCGCTGCTTCCTGGGCCTTGGGGAACAGCGCCTACGGAGAATAGGGGCAAACCCTAAGCCCTAAACGCAAAACCCTAAACCCGAAACCCCCAACGCAAAACCCTCAACCCTAAACCCTAAACCCGAACCCTAAACCCGAAACCCCCAACGCGAAACCCTATGCCCTAAACCCTAAACCCGAACCCTAAACCCTAAACCCTCAACCCGAAACCCTAAGCCCTAAACCCTAAACCCTCAACCCTAAACCCGAAACCCCAAACCCTCAACCTTCAACCCTAAACCCTAAACCCTAAACCCTAAATCCCAAACCCTAAACCCTAAACCCTAAATCCCAAACCCCAAACCCTAAACCCGAAACCCTAAACCCTAAACCCCAAACCCTAAACCCTAAACCCTAAACCCTAAACCCCAAACCCTAAACCCTAAACCCTAAACCCTCAAGCTTTGATGCGGCCACCGGCACTTGCCATCGCCGCGGCAAGAAGCGCCTGGGCCCTCTGGAGTGCCTCCGAAGCCTCCTGGGGTTTAGGGTTTAGGGTTTAGGGTTTCGGGTTTAGGGTTTTGGGTTTTGGGTTTAGGGTTTAGGGTTTAGGGTTTAGGGTTTAGGGTTTAGGGTTTCGGGTTTAGGGTATCGGGTTGAAGGTCAGCTGGAAGAGTCATGGGTCGTCAGAAGTAGCGCTCAAACTGGTCACCCCTACTTATCACCCAAGGTTCCATTTGAGGCTACCCATGAAGCTCCAAGTACTTGGAGGTTCATGGTACTTATTTTCCAGTTACAACTAAACGTATAACTCACTTATAAGTCCCTTAAGTGCCCTAATACGGTTATAAGTACAGTTCTAAGTACAGATATAATTGGCTAATAGGTACCAGGAACCTCCAAGTATAGGGTTTGGATTGTGGGCTGCACGGCTACGCCCGAAAACCCAAACTGGTTTCGTAAGGTATAACTGGCCCATGCAGGGCCGAACCTAACCGGAAACCCAGACCGTTAACCCGATCCTGGTATTGAAGTTAACGTACAGGCAAAAGCAAACCATAGTGTCGCCTTCCGACCTCTCGCCCATACATGACCCCCCCTCCCCCTGAGCCCGACCTAATCCCTAAACCCCAAACCCCAAACCCTAAATCCTAAAGCCTAAGCCCACCATCATTTTGGGAACTGACAATATCAAACAACCCGGGACTCTAAACCGCGGATCCTATAACAAGGGCGGCTTACTTGGCGGAGGTTCATGGATGGCAACTAGGTACCTCCGAAAGAACACATCGGTTGCAGCCGTATTTGGGGGGAGGGGGCATTTTGAACCCTAAATGTCGCCATACGGTCACTTCTCTATGCTATGGATCCTAAACCCTAGACCCTGAACCCTGAACCCTAAACCCTAAACCCTAAACCCCTAAACCCTAAACCCCTAAACCCTAAACCCTAAACCCTAAACCCTAAACCCGGGCTTCCAGTCCTGTAGAGGTTGCCCGCTGTGGGCCGCCAGAGCTGGCGAGCCGCTCTCCTCAGCTGCCTCGAGGCGCAGACCGACGGGAGAAGCGCGAAGGCAAAGGGCCCATGCCCCAAGGCGGGTTTAGGGTTTAGGGTTTAGGGTTTCGGGTTTAGGGTTTAGGGCTTAGGGTTTAGGGTTTAGGGTTTAGGGTTTAGGGTTTAGGGTTTAGGGTTTAGGGTGTTAGGTGGCTCCGGGTTGCTGGTTGGGGTGTTGGGTCATCGGGTTGAGAGCGTTGAGGGCTCAGAGCCTCAGAGTTTTGGGTTGAGAGCTTGGGGGTGAATCCCGCTTGCTCCCACACGCACGCGGAAGTCACGAATTGCAGGCCCCATGTGGTCAGTTCTCCAGGTAATGGCCCCTTTTGTCGACCTCCCGATTCTGATGACTCTAAACCCTTATACTGAGGTCAGCCTCTACCAGGATCCCACATGCTGAACCCAAGATGTGCCAACGAGCGGCCGAACTGCAAAAGGCTCATGAGCTAATATTTAGGGTTTGGGGTCTAGGGTTTGAGGTTTAGGGTTTAAGGTCTAGGGTTTTGGATTCACAAGAACCCTATAAAACCCCTCCAAAAACCCTACAAGAACCTAAAAAAGAAACCTGGAAACCTGTAAAACCCCTATACACCCCCATAATAGCCCTATAAAACCCCTCCAAAAACCCTGCAAAACACCAAAAAAGAGCCCTGGAGGCCTGGAAGGCCATCTCAGGGTTCATCCAACCGCGCTGCCAGCCGACCTCCGTGGGCGCAGGGTGAGCCGCTTTGGGGTTCTTAGAGGGTTTAGGGTTTAGGGTTTAGGGTTTAGGGTTTAGGGTTTAGGGTTTAGGGTTTAGGGTTGCAGGGTTTTTGGGGTTTGTCGGGTTTGGGGTGTAAGGGTTTGTGGAGTTTGTAGGGTTTAGGGGGAGTTTTGGAAGTTTTGGGTGCTTAGGGGGATTGGGCTGGGGTGATCCAAGCAGCAGGTTTGTGGGTTTGGGGGTTCTCCAGTTTGTTCGCCGAACCTGTTCACGCCATTCTTCTCCAAGCGTGCACCGCATTTTTTGCCCGAAAATCGTGCTCTCACCTTGGCGCGGTCGCGCCCGCGCTCGCCGTCCTCGAAACTGTCAGCGAAATTCGAGACTGTCGTCGATCTTGGATGTCTGCGTTCCACAAATGCGAAGCTGTCCTCACATTTGGACTTCTGGGCTCGCGGGTCTCTCACTGTTTGGGGTTTACGTTGGCACAGTTCTTTTTTGGGGGCGGGGAGGGGAGTGGGGGGTTGGGTGGGTTGATGTACTTGTCCGAAGAGGGGGCGATGAATAACGTTGCCGCGCAAACAGACATGAGTTGCAGTCCCTATGCGGACTCGAAATCCAAGTTCCCTAAACCCTAAACTCTAAACCCTAACCCTAAACCTCAACCCTAAACCGAAGCCACAAGCGGCCTGGGTCCATCCAATCTCCAGGAGGATCGTCTCATGCTCTTCCTCCGTGATCTTGTGATCTTCCCTGGCCAGCGGGTTCTCGGGTTTCGGGTTTAGGATCTAGGGGCCTGGGACCCTAAACCCTAAACCCTAAACCCTAAACCCTAAACCATGGAACACTACAAGCCCCTTCAAAAGACTTTACAACTCAATTGCCGCTAATAGGCCGCCATCGGAACCCTGATACAACTACCCCAAAAAACGGACCTCTGGTGTTGAAACATACCCATGAAGGGTTAAGGCTTTAAGGCTTGGGGCTGAGAGTGCCTAGTCCTTGATGAGGCCACAAGCCTACAGCAAAGTTCCGGTTCTAGGGGGGCCCGGAGATGTTTTGGCTCCAATTGGCCATGGGGTTTAGGGCTTATAGGGCTTGGGGTTGAGAGTGCAGGGTTCCAATCTTCAGTGCAGGGTAAGAAGCCTGAAGCCCTGAACCCTTAAACCTTTGAAGCCTGAACCCTTAAATCCAAAATGCCAAACCCCGACAGTACCTCAAAGCCCCGGGTGCGGGCCTAGAAACTTGTGGGCGCCCTAAACCCTAAACCCTAAACCCTAATCCCTAAACCCTAAACCCTAAACCCTAAACCCCAAACCCTAAACCCTAAACCCTAAACCCTAAACCCTAAACCCTAAACCCTAAACCTAAAGCCACAAACTGAGCCCTCTACCCCCTAAACCCTAGACCCTAAACCCTAACACTCAGTCCGCAGGTCTTGCCGCGCATTAATTGCTTCGGGCGTTTGGGAAAGTAGGAAAAACATCGTGCATCCCCCGAAAAATTCGTGGTAAAGGCTGACAGGAAGTATGTGCTATGTTGGGAGTCGTTTGTTTAAAAAACAGCATCCTAGTGCACAACGTCTAGCGAGGTGGCGGGCATTAATAAGGTTGAGGTTTGGCACACCGCAACACATTTCTTCAGGAGCATGCGAGGTCATGCAATAGAAGGGGGTAAGTTGCAGCAGTGGCCACGACTTCAAGATGCGCAGTGGACAGTAGAGACGCATGGTTGCTATCTCTGTAAACTTGTGGTGGATCGTGTCGATGTTTAGCAACACTCGGTGTGCGGATTGTTTGTGCAGACGGCCATGGCCACGCCGGCCTGTGCACCTGAAGGCTCAGGCGGCCCGGAGGCTGCCAGCAGTTCGACAAACTATGTGCGGTCAGAAGAGGTGGGCTTGTCTTCGAAATCTGGCTTCCATCATGCGCGCCCGAAGCACCCTAAACTTAAACCCTGTAAGACCTAAAGCCCGGTTTCGGTCGCGCTAGCGCTGTTCCGCCTTGGCCGGCTCGAACGCAGCTTCCCAGGGCGCGTTTGGACTTCACGCAGTTCGGTTCCTGTCTGCTGAGCATACAAAAGTGCTTCAATTGCGCAGGTGCCTGAAATTGACTAGAGTTGTCTGAATCAGCGGTGTTGGGGGCGCAGCGTGCTGGACTTTTGCAGAGTCAGAGCCGCGACGACGCCCACTCTCACATTCCAGGAAGGGAGCATGGCAATCTCACAGCCCACCCAGCGTGGTGGAAGGGTGGGCAATGAAGATCTTTCTCCTCTAAGGAGGTCTTATTTGTCTGGCCGGTTTACTCTAAATCGCCTGGCCTTTCTGCTCGGCTCAGGAAGGAGCATCCCAGAATCCCAAGTTCGGTGTGTGCAGGTGGAGCTGACGATTCCACATCCAGGTGATTTCAGGCCAATGCAGGATGTGTGCTCACGCTCGGCAGGCCCCCGGTCGAAGCCTCGTCTTCTTCTTAGGGTTTATCCGGCAGGGAAGGAGCTGCAAACAGGCGCCCTATCCGCCTTCGTCGGTTTCACGTTTCCTCACGATTGCAGGGTGCTGAAGGATGTTACATACAAGATCGTTCTGCTCAACAAGACCGAGGCGAATTGGAAGCGCGTGGGGGGTACAAGTTCATTCTACCGGAGCCCTGCTTCTGGTTCAGGTCAATTCAAGGAGTGGGGGGCCCCGGCTTTGATCAAGGTCTCGGACATGTTGTTGCCCGAAGCAGGTTGGCTGAATGATCAAGGGGAGCTGCAGTTCCGAGCCACCGCCACCATCACGCTGGAAGCCTCGGCTCCATGCCCGGCATTCTGTGCACAGCTGGACCTGAGCCAAGACCTGGCTCCCGTAACCTTTCATTTGCCCGACGGCCCGCCCTTGATCTTCGACAAGCGCTTGTTGGTGGCACGCTCCGAGTACTTCAAAGAGATGCTTTCAGAGGACAAGTGAAAGGAAAGTCGCACCAATGAGATAGACCTCACTAAGAACAGCGAGGCCAACCATGCGGCATTTGGTGGAGTGCTGCGCTTCCTCCTCGGAGGGCTTGTCCAGGCTACCGACCCCCATGCTGTGGGAGGCGGGCAAGCGACCATGGGTCGGCTTGTGCCAGCGAGGTCAAAGGGCTTAAGCGCCGCCCCCCAACGTAGGGGGGCGGCCTAGGCCCTGAGTTTAGGGTTTAGGGTTTAGGGTTCAGGGTTCAGGGTTTAGGGTTTAGGGTTTAGGGTTTAGGGTTTAGGGTTTAGGGTTTGGGGTTTAGGGTTTAGGGTTTAGGGTTTAGGGTCTAGGGTTTAGGACGCTTGCGGCCGCAAAAAGCTTTCAAAGGGGCATGCGCGATCACGCCCGTCACGGGGACCGAACTCCAGAACGACCTGTAAACCCTAGACCCTGCACCCTGAACCCTAAACCCTGTAAACCTTCCCGAAAACCCTAAACCATAACCCTGTAAACCCTGCAAAGCATATGGGTGATTGTCAACATTATGGTCCTTTTTGGACCCCTATTATAATACCTCACTTCATTTTCAGGGTACCCCAAAAGGGATTACAATTTTGACAGCCACCCATATAAACCCCATGCCTACCCAACCCTCGTCCTGAAGCCCCGCCTGATCTTGCCCAGCAACCGCCTCTCTGCCGAGTCTACCTGGAGGCATGCTTAGGGCTTGGGGTTTAGGGTTTAGGGATTAGGGTTTCGGGTTTAGGGTTTAGGGTTTAGGGTTTCGGGTTTCGGGTTCAGGGTTCAGGGTTCAGGGTTTAGGGTTTAGGGTTTAGGGTTTAGGGTTTAGGGTTTAGGGTTTAGGGTTTAGGGTTTAGGGTTGAGGTTTGTTTTTGGGGTTTTCAGGGCTTTCCAAGGGTTTTTACTTGGCTTTATAGGGTTTATCGGGTTAAGGGTTTACAGGGTTTTCGAGGATTGTTTAAAGAGTTTTATGGGGCGTTCTAGGCTTTTAAATGGTTTTATGGGTTTTTTTGGGGGGTTTGTGGGGAGGTTGTTGTATGGAGTTTTATAGGGTTTGTAGGGCTTCGTAGGGTTTGCCATACGGCAAAGTGCAAGGGTCTTAGGGTTTCGGAGTTTAGCGGGCTTACAAGGGTATCAGGTCGCTACAAGGTGGGAAGGTCATAGGGTTGAGGGTTGTAAAGTTGGGGTTAGAAGGGTTTGGGGTTTAGGCTTTAACAAGGCTGTGGGTTGATAAAAGGTTTGGGTTGAGAGCAGTCAGAGCAAACCCCTAGAACCCAACCACCCTAAAGCCCAAAGCGTCAACCGCAGGTCCGCAATCTTCTGATAAATGCTGCTGTGTAAGTGCGATATTGTGGTCCACAAGCCCACAAGCATTTTCGCCACGCTCCAGTGGGCGTACCGCCGCGGTGCTTGGAGCAGGCACGGATTCAGGGGGCTGCTCCCTACCACATTTGCCACAAAGCCAGCCTCTGCTGGCTTTCGGGACCACTTGCATCCCCACCCCTGAGTCGGGCCAAGAGGTCATCCTACCTGCTGTCAGCAGGCCACGCTTTTGAAGCTTCAGCTTCAACTGCTTCACAAGCCTGAAACTGAAAAAACCAGCCCTCGGTAGATAGGGTTTAGGGTTTGGGGTTTAGGGTTTAGGGTTTAGGGTTTAGGGTTTCTGTTCAGGAACTTACATTAAAGCTGCCGGAAGCCAGAGACATCGAAACCTAAAATGGCTTCCTGGGCATGGTTGCACAACCGAAACTCCCAAAAACCGGAACGCCCGAAAACCTTCATTTTACTCAAAAGCCCTCAACTCGAAACCTGAAAATTGCCCCTAAAACCCCTAAACCCTAAACCCTAAACCCTAAACCCTAAACCCTAAACCCTAAACCCGATGAAACCTTGCCATCCGCCACAACGGCCATCAGCAGCAGCTTGTACAGCCGACCTGATGGCAGCCGCCGAGCTTGCTGTGAAGGTGCTCAACTTCGGGGGTTTAGGGTTTAGGGTTTAGGGTTTAGGGTTTAGGGTTTAGGGTTTAGGGTTTAGGGTTTAGGGTTTAGGGTTTAGAGTTTAGGGGTTTAGGGCTTGGGGTTTAGGGTTTAGGGTTTAGGGTTTAGGGTTTAGGGTTTAGGGTTTAGGGTTTAGGGTTTAGGGTTTAGGGTTTAGGGTTTAGGGTTTAGGGTTTAGGTCTCAGGGTTCAGGGTTTCGGGCTCAGGGTTCTGGGCTCAAGGTGTTTAAGGCTTGGGATTTCGGGTTTAGGGCTTAGGGGCTTTGGGTTCGGGTGTCTCACCGCTCGCACCCCTCAACGCTTAAGGCCTGAACCCAGGACAGGCTGTTCGGGGACTAAGCTAAGCATAAGCTCTAAAGTCTAAGCTTCAAAAAGGCGGAAGTGCGCCAGGCTGCAGGGGACGTGCAGCAACTCCGCCCAACCCCCGGGAAAGGGTGTAGAGCTCAGGGTTTAGGGTTTTGGGTTTAAGGTTTAAGGTTCAGGGTTCAGGGTTTAGGGTTTAGGGTTTAGGGTTTAGGGCTTAAGGCTGAAAATCCTCGGGCAACACCCCGGCCCCCCAAACCCCTACGCGGCGCGCACTCTCCAGCTTGAGGGCGCCGCAGCGCTGCGTCGGATTCTCCAGGCGCACGTAGTCCACCATCTGGGCTTGGGGCTTTAACCCGACAGCTCCGTCAAACCCTAAACCCTAAACCCTAAACCCTGGGTTTGCGGCTTCAAGGCTTGGGAGCCCCCAAGCGCCCCATTACCCCTAATAGTCCAGGGTTTGGGGTTTGGGGTTCAGGGTTCAGGGTTTAGGGTTTAGGGTTTTAGGGTTTCGGGTTTAGGGTTTAGGGTTTCGGGTTTCGGGTTTAGGGCTTAGGGTTTAGGGTTTAGGGTTTAGGGCGGGATCCCCTCTTAGGGGTTCGAACATCTGCCAGGATCAGCCATCGGGATTTAGAGCATGAAAGGGCTCGGAGCAACCCAAAGGCTTTAGAAAGACAAGGTAAACCAGGCTCAAGACATAACAGGAACCACCCTAATATGTGCAGTATAAACATGAGATGTTCAAGAAACCTAAACCCCTGAACCCTAAACCCCTAAACCCCTTGCGGCACTCCCCGGAAAGGCGGGGGGAGAGAACCTAAACCCCTGAACCCTAAACCCCTAAACACATTGCGGCACTCCCCGGAAAGGCGGGGGGAGAGGGGGGAATCTTGGCACGAACGCGCAGCAGAAGAGGACCCCCAAGCGACCAGCCCTGTGAGGGTTTGGGGTTTAGGGTTTTGGGTTTTAGGGTTTGGGGTTTAGGGGTTTAGGGGTTTGGGGGTTAGGGGTTTAGGGGCTTAGGGGCCTCGGGGTTTCGGGGTTTAGGGGTTTCGGGGTTTCGGGGTTTAGGGGTTTAGGGGTTTAGGGGTTTAGGGGTTTAGGGGTTTCGGGGTTTCGGGGTTTCGGGGTTTCGGGGTTTCGGGGTTTAGGGGTTTAGGGGTTTAGGGGTTTAGGGGTTTAGGGGTTTAGGGGTTTAGGGGTTTTTAGGGGTTTAGGGTTTAGGGTTTAGGGGTTTAGGGGTTTAGGGGTTTAGGGTTAGGGGTTTAGGGGTTTAGGGTTTAGGGTTTCGGGGTTCGGGGGTTTCGGGGTTCGGGGTTTCGGGGTTTAGGGGTTTAGGGGTTTAGGGGTTTAGGGGTTAGGGTTTTAGGGGTTTAGGGGTTTAGGGGTTTAGGGTTTAGGGGGTTAGGGGGTTAGGGGGTTAGGGGGTTAGGGGGTTAGGGGGTTAGGGGGTTAGGGGGTTAGGGGGTTAGGGGGTTAGGGGTTTAGGGGTTTAGGGGTTTAGGGGTTTAGGGGTTTAGGGGTTTAGGGGTTTAGGGGTTTAGGGGTTTAGGGGTTTAGGGGGTTTTAGGGGGTTAGGGGGTAGGGGTATAGGGGTTTAGCGGTTTAGGGGTTTAGGGGTTTAGGGGTCTAGGGGTCTAGGGGTTTCGGGGTTTAGGGGTTTCGGGGTTTAGGGGTTTAGGGGGTCTAGGCTACGGAGTGCAAGCTCCAGGATTTGTCTTCTGTTTAGGGTTTAGGGTTTAGGGTTCAGGGTTTAGGGTTTAGGGTTTGGGGTTTGGGGTTTAGGGTGTTTGGGGCTACCCCCAGTGCTGGGCCTCGTGGAAGAGGATGGAGACGATGCTGGCTTGGATGGCCGGATCCTCCTGTCTGCCGCGCAGCCCAAACCCTAAACCCTAAACCCCTAAACCCTAAGCCCTAAATCCTAAACCCTAAACCCTAAGCGCTAAATCCTAAACCCTAAACCCCTACACCCT